CGCCCTAGCAGCGGCGAGTTCATTCCGCTCGCCCGCCCACGCAACTTCGCCTCGTCCGCCCGCACGCACGTAAACCGATTTCCCAGTGGGGGCCCCGTCTCACTTCATTCTCACGCCCCAACTTCTTGTATATTTTATCTGAATTTTTCACCCCGCTCGCCCGTCCTGGAGGCTCGAGCGTGTCTGGCCTACCCATCATCATCAAGGCAGGCACCTGCCTCGACGCGCGCAGCACAGCGGCCGCGCGGCGCAATCGACAGCGAGGCCGGGCACGCTGGCTCTGCAGCCTGCGCGGGCCCCACTCACCGTACTTCGTTTTTGCTATCGAAAAGAAGCGCCCTTGCTCTCACCGCAGCCCTTGGCGGGAACAGAGCCGAAGGAAGTTGTGGCAACATTCCTGGCTGCCCGACACCTCGGGCCAATGCCAAGATCGAGTGCGAATTCGATCCCTCTGTCACGCAACAACTGAGCCTCACGAGCGTTCGAGAGCGGCAACAACTCAACTTCTTTGTCAGAGGAAATAGCTGAATCAACACGAACTCACCAACGCCAACTCCGCTCATCGAAATTTCAACCTTGAAGCGCCTGGAGACGGAGTAATGCAACACAAACCCCCGCAGCGACGAACAAAACAGGAAGGGCCGTCGCCATATCTGTCAACTCTTTCTTGTCCCCCCAGTCGGCGATCTGCTTGAGCAACGCATCTCGGCACTCCATATCCTCGCAGGCTCCGCCGAGGCGGTGCAACATCCGAGAAAAGGGCCACTGGTTACTTGCTTGCGGAGGTCTAAGCAAATCGGTATTCTCGTCCTTGGCCTTTTTGCGATCCACTGCGCCCGCCTTGTCGTGCTGGTCGATAGTCCAGTCCAGTCCATCCCTTTCATCAGCTCTCTTTCTTTTTTTAAGAGGCGCTTCCAATGCGAATTTCTGATCGCGGCACAGAGCTGCGCGTTCTTCGTCCAACAGCAGGGTGCGCGTCGCAACCGCCTCCATTAGCTGCAACTCCTGGGTGCGCCTGTTGCCGCAGGCTGAGGTGCCCCCGGCCACGGCCACGCCCTTGGCCTCGGCCTTGCCCTCTGCCTTGCCTTTCTTCGCGCCAATGGCTTTCCGCTTGGAGTCCCTCTGCCGCCTTGCGCGTCAATCTCCCAGGGGTGCCGAGCATCGCGTTGTGCTGTTTCAACTGGTAGTGGGGCCGCGGCAGTAGCTGACAAGTCTGAGAGAGATGGGCAGTGAAGGAAGCGGAGAAGTCTGACCGAAGAGACTCGCCGGCTAAACTTGGTATTTTCATGGGCACATTCCGTAGCACCACGAGGCACATTAACGAATTCTTGATGCGTCCTGCCAAAATCCTGAAAGCACCCCGCGAGTCGCCAATGTAACAGAAACGCAGCCTCCATCGCCAAGGGCGCAGCATTGGCCTTCACGTCGGCACAGGTAGCTGCCATGGCTCTCACAATGACCAAACGCTGAACGTAACAGTGCAAAGTATAAGGGAACTCGCCGTCCGCAACAATCCGCATTCACCGATGCTTCTCAGCAGCAGATTTTTTAATCGTCTCTCGGATCACGAAGTCAAGATCTGAAGCAGAACTAACCATATCATCCTCAATATAATCGTATTGCTCACTGTAACTGAGGGCAGCTGGCATGCTCCCCAGTCTAGACTGAACGGCAGCGCGGTGCTAGATCATCTTCTCATCAGGGTCATAGTTGCGCAGGGGGTCCTCGAACAGCTGTCGGTTCCAGGGAGGCGCTCTCTTCGGGGACTTCGTCGGCTTCTGCTGCGGCATCAGGAAGAGGCCGTCCACGGGGCGGAGATCTCGAAAGCCTCCAAGACGCATAGGGGAAGTGCGATCCGCCTGCGCCGACGAGCCATGGCAACGAACATTTTTGCAAATCAGGAAACACAAGCGGCAGTGACTTCCGTTTGGATGGGCCCACGTCCGGTGAGACATGCGACCGGGGAAAAATGTGTTGAGCGCCTTCAAATGCAAATCCCGTGGCACAGCGGTAACCTCATAACGGCTGGCTGTCATGCGAAGAGAGTAACTGCACTGCGCCTGAGGAATCCCTTCCACATCGATCTCCATGGAAGTGCCATGCATACATAAAACATGAACCGCCGCGGCTCCGGGCCGTCGTAAGAGCCCGACTAACCTGCCCGCGACGCACAGGCTCTCGCAGTTGAACATGCGAGCTCGCATCTGGTGTACGCCATCGCGAACGGGAGGCCGCCGTCCTCGTCGTCGAGGAAAAAAGGGGTCCCGAGCAAGCGGCAAGCCCAACAAATCAACTGCCTTGGTCTTCGTGCCCAAAGCCGCTTGAGTACTCCTGAGGGTCGCGAAGTCGGCGGGCTGGGCAGCCTGCGCAAGATCAAACTGTCGGCCGCAATGCCGACGCTGACCATGCAAGAACAGACTTCGGATGGCTCGCTTCCATCCTTCGTGACAGTCATGCCCGTGTTCTCCAGCGCTCATACATCTGCATTCATGCAGCTGGATGCGCGGCCGTCGGGCTGTGGCCGCGCCCTCGGCCCTCGCCAGTCGCAGAGGCAACTGAAAAAAATCTCGGCGCCCAGACTTGGGACTGGGACCCTGGGGAGTAAGTGAATTGTTCGCTCCAGGGGGAGGCAGGCCTGCTCGGGGGCCCGTGAACCAGAGCGGTTGCGGTCGCCCCCCCCCCCCCCTCCCAGGGGGGGTGCCCCCGAACGGAGCTTTATTTTATCCGCATGTATATCTCCGTCACCGTGCCGCGAGGCACGAAGCGGAATGTCCTCGGGTCCTCAAGGCTTCCCTGCTCTGTACTCGGGACTGGGGGATGATGGTGCTCTAAGGGCCGGGGCCCTAAATTCTGAAATTCCCACGCGTTCCCGCGCGTTCCCGGACTGCCTCGCAAGACTTTTCCACGAGCCAAAAGGCCCCAAGACGGGCTGAGAGGGCCCCGAAAAGCGCAAGGGGTCTAAGAGTCCTCCAAAACAGCCCAAGGGCGCTCCAAGCCGCCCAAGATGGCCCCAAGACGGCCCAAGGGGCCCCAAAGAAGCCCCGATATAGCTCCAAGAGTACCCCCAAGAGAGCCCAAATATGAAACAAAACACGGATGTTACTGAAGCTGTTCGATGTTTGTCGCGCCCTCGCGTTCTCGGGCTTCTGGCGCTCCGAGATGGCCCCAGATGCCCCGAAGGCCGCCCCAAGACGGCCCAAGAGGCCCCCGAGAGGGCCCCAAGACTGTGCAAGAGGCGCCCAAGATTGCCCAAGAGGGCCCCAAGACGGCCCCAAGACGGGGAACACGAAAAGACAATTCGAGCCTCCCGCCCCAAGGGGCCCCCAGGAAGCCCCAAGATGCCCCCCGAGAGAGCCCGAGAGGCCCTCTGGAGGGCTGGCGAGCCCCCCTAGAGGCTTCGAAGAGGCCCAAGGAATCCCCCACACGGCCCAAGAGACCTCGAAACGGTATCCAAGAGGCCTCCCACGATATCCTAACGAACATCCTGGAGGCCTCTAACACGCAACCTAGGCGCGGTGGCGGGATGGGTCGAAGGCCACTAGGCACACACATAATGTGTGTATATATTCCTCTTCCGATATTTTTACAAGCCCGGGCGGGAGGAAAACCCGTCACCCCCCCCTCAAAAAAAAAACGGGACTCCCGGGATCTGGGGCTTTGGGGCCCTTCGGACGGGCCTCGAAGCGGCCCCCCGGGCCTCGCAGGGCGTTTTGCCGAGCCTTCGCAGCACGCCTAGGGCGATCAAGGGGGTCATTTGAGACGCCCCGGAGAACCCTGAGACAGCGCAAGAGCGCTCCAAGAAGCCATCATACCCCGAAAGATCGCTCCAAAACGTACCAAGAGGCCTCCAAGAGCACCCCCAAGAAGGCCCCAAGAAGGACAAATCATTGATTTGATATAGTTTTTTGGTGAATTTAGGGTTCTTCTCTTTTCGGCTTCCCGACGCTCCAAGACAACGGTCTTCTGGGCGTCCGAAGTCGCCTGGGAGGCTCCAAACTCGCCCCGCAGCCGTCCGAAAGGGCTTCCAGGCAGTCCAAGAGAGCCCCAAATGGCACACCAGGGGTCCAAAATGGCCCGAAGAGAGCCCCATGGCGGCCCAAGATGGCCCCAAGACGCCCTCCGAAGCATTCCAAATCGTGACCAGGGCGTTCAGGGAGACCGCGGTTAGAAACAGGTTGGCCTTAGGAAGCCCCAGAGGCCCCCAGAACACGCCCAGGAGGCCCCAAAAAGGCTTTAAGAAAGCTTGAGAACGTTGGTGAGGCTCCCAGAGGCTCTCCACGGAGGAGCCTCCGCAAAAAGAGCTGAGGAGGATGGGGGGAATGCCCAGGGTATGGCGAGAATGAAGAACAATAAGCATGGATAAAGGATAACGAACAACATTATTATAACGGCGATGCCAGAAAAGGCAGCAGGGAGTTATCGTTAGAGTGTCCGCTTGACCTTCCTGCCTTTTCCGCCTGTATGGCAATCTTCAAAGACCAAGGTGCATGGCGCGAAACGCCACTGCAGTCTTGTATGTATGTATATGTGTGTGCATATATATATATATATATATATATATATAAATATATACATATATATATATATGGGTGATTGCGTCTAAGAACGTTTCTATTCAGTTAGGTTCGCGAAGGGGCCAGAGGGTGGGAATGTCTTGCGCGGCGCGTCGATTGTTCCAGGCCTTTGCTCGCCGCCGCCGCTGCTCAACAGATCAAGGCGCAATGATCCACTGAGCAACAGAGGAGAGGGGCGCCATCCGCAGGCCCCCTCCTGTCTCTCGCGGGCGCCTCAGATCTGGGCGCCCGCTCCCTGCCTGGGATGGCGCTCGAAGGCAGCCCCGCCCCGCCAACTCCGCCGGCCGCGGCCGAGCCGCGAGGGGGCGGGATGCGGGCTGCCGTCTGGGCGGCGCTGGCGGTGGCCGCTGCAGCTGGCGACCGCGGGCCGCGGCAGGCTGGTCGGGCTGGCGCTGTGCATGGAGGTGGGCCCGTCGGCCGCCTGGTTCGCTGCGCGCCAGGGCTGGCATCTGTGCTGCGACTAGGCGGCCGAGGCCGAGCAGCTGAAGCGGATGATCGAGCAGATGCAAGCCTGGCACCTCGGCGGAGGCTCAGGCGCGCCAGGCGCCGCGCTCGACCCGAGCTACGACGTGGCGACGGACGACGCGGGCGCCGAGGGCGGCGCGCTGCCCCCTGGGCCCCCCCCCGTGCCGGGCGCGACGGGCCCGCTGACGGGGCCAGGGGGGCTGGGGGCCCTAGGCGTGGCGGCAGGAGTCGTGCCGCCCATGGGTGCACCGCCCCCCGCGCCTGCTGGCGCTGCCAGTCTGGGCGCCCTGGGCGCCTGGGCCGGGGCGCCAAGCGCTGGCGTGGCCCCGCCCCCGGGCCCGGCCGCGGCGGGAGCGGCTGCCCCAGGCGCGGGCGCGGGCGCCGTGCTGGAGAGCCGCCCAGGAGCTCAGAACGTCCTGGTGGTGTCGCAGGCGCGTTAGATCGAGGAGCTGCTGGCGGCCTTTAGCGGCCCCATGGCGTCCGACTGCCAGTGGGGCCGCAGGTTCTGGCAGAGCGTCTGGGCCATCGAGGCGTCGGGTCAGCTCCAGGAGGAGATCAAGCGCGCGCTGACGGGCTTCGGCTACGCGGGGGCCGCCGTGACGACGGCGCCGCGGGAGGCCGAGCTGATCGGGGTCCTTGGCCGCCTCAGCTCCCAGGCGGCCCTGGCCGTGGGCAGCGGCCCATGGGCCCAGGTCGCTTCGCCGGACCTCTCGGCGTCGCGCGGCGGGTCTGCGGAGACGCGCTTGGGGCCCAGCCTGCGAGCCGATCTCCAGAGGGCCGCCCCCGAGATCTACCAAATGATACGAGGCGAGGGCCCATCGAGTGCGAGGGATTGGATCGCCCGGAGGTACTGGGGCAGTCGCAGCAGTCCCGCGTGGGTGGATCTGTGGCCCCTGTCGACCACCGTAGACTTCCGGCTCAAGGGCTGCGCCAGCGACGTGGATCTTGCAGGTGCTGGCCCTGGGCGATCTGATGGGCGTCGTCTTCTTGTTTGGACGAAGCGGGCCTCCCCGCGCGCCACTCGCGACTGAACATCTTTAGGTGGTGAGCAGGAGACAGGCCCTCCCATGTAGCCTTAGTATGGGCTATGTCATGATCTTTAGCTGGCTCGTAATCCAGGTGCGTCAACTGCTCTTCGAGTGGTGTTTTGTTCGGATCGGTGCAGCGACCCCGACCATCAGCGCGAGACCAGACCCATGGCGTCTTGCGGAAGTTGGGGCTCCTTGATGGGCGCCTCATGGGGCAGCCGAGTCTATGATCGGCATGCTCGAAACAGGTGCAAACATCACCTCGGTAAAGTTTCCGCTCTTCGATGATCGCCCTCTTTAAGCCCCGCTTTTCTAAGCCCCCCCCGGTGTTTTGACAGCCCGTTTTCTATTGGAACGAATGACTTTGCCTTCGTCGTCTCGTCTAACATTGTGAAGGGAATGCCAGTGGCGGATCCGATGTTCGGCATAACCTCGGTCCTGGTAATCTCGCACCGTATCGGGGTCTATGTGCTGGCGAGCCAATCCAGCACTCTTGTGGTCAATAAGGCGCTGCATCTCGCCTTCTGGGTATTTTTCTTGAGGATCTTCCCTTTGATGCGGGTTTTCCCGCAAGCGCTCCTTCCTCGGTGGAGCGCCAGCTCTATTGCCCCTCCTTGGAGGGATTATCGGGGCCCTCGTGTCAGGGGGATGAGGGCGCTGAAGGCCGCTAGAGCGAGCGCCGCTGGAGCGCGCGCGCGAGTGTTCGCGTGGGCCACTGCGGGCCCGACCGCGACGTAGCAGACGCGGGTCAGCTTCCCGTTCTTCGTCATCATCATCCGCGCGGTACGCGGGTCTCCAGGCTTGACGGCTTGCCGATCGCTCCTGGCGGCTTAGGGAACGCTCCGTGGCTGCGAATGTAGATTGAAGTCCTTCGTTGTGGCCGGGCTCGTGCTGGGCGCGTTCTGACAGATCGCCGGCATCTCGCGGGTTTCCCCGCAAAGGGTCATCATATGCACATCCATGTTTGTCGGACTACCAATGACCTGAGGATAAGGCATCAATCGTGCTTCCTCTTCGGTCGCAAGATTTGGTGGCCTCTGAATCCGCGGGTGCCCCCGCCATCTCTTGATCTTCCTCGGCGGGCATCTGGAATTGTTCCACGCATTCAATATCGGCAGTTTGCCTTGCGATGGGTATGCCCAGCCAGTCTGCCAGGTCGATCTCGCTGTGGCCAGTAAGTATCTCCTCGGATAGCTCGTCGGCGTAATTCTCGAGGGACATACTGGCACTAAAATATCTGACAACCATGAAATTAACAAATGTAACTGAGCTGTCGGCAGGGTCGGCTAAACGTCTCCCAGTCAACATGCTGTATGTCTGAATCAGTTTGAGCCAAATGCATCGACCGACCTCCGCCCCCCCCCCCCCCCCCCCCATCGCCCTGAGGGCATTCGCGGCGAACGTGTTGTGTGCTATGGCAGATATCGCATTCCAGTGCTTTCGGTTGGCATCCTTCGGGTTGCCCCGACGCCCCTTGCCTTTTCCTGAAATATACCTGCGGTTCCTGCCTGCACCTGGGAACAGCTCTTCAAATTGCGGACCAGTCAGGAATGCCAGGGATACTAACATGCCTCTGCCATGCAGTCGCCGCCGTTTGCCTTTACCCTTGCCTCGACCCCTGCCCTTTCCCCTGAATGCCCGTCGGATAGTGCGTCGTACCTTGCGAAGTGGCATCTTCATAAACCGTCTCCATCTGCGTCTGTGTTTCTGATATCCTAGGAATATCCATGGCGCCTGTTGTTCTTCCGTGAGGTACGTGGGCATGTCAGAGAAGTCCAGTGCAACCGCCTCGTCGTCTGAAGACGTGTCGGTGTCGGTTCCAGAGTCGAAGTCGGACTCAGCAGGTTGCCTCGCTGAGCCCATTAGGGTAGTGGCTTGAGTAGGGGCGCCCGCATCTGGCGGCCCCCGAAACCTGGCCCAGGAGTCTTGCAACCCCGAGGCCGAACCATCGTTTTGAGTTAATAGTGTGGTGGTCTCCGTTGGTTGTGGATCGTCGTTCCAGACGTTAGTAGCAAGTTGCCCTGCGTTAGCTGCAGCGTGAAAGGTCTCGGTGCGGTGGCCGTGGCTGAAGATGACGCCAATATTGCCGGGGGTTATCCCAGCGATGTGGGCATCTTATCTCATGCGTTCAAGCAGAGAGTCAGATTGCTGCTGGTCCCTCGGTATGTGGTGGTCTAGTGGCTGTAGGAGTTGCTGTGCACGCGACGTCCCCGCTCCCAAGGCTCTGACTATAATAACTGTTAGAAATTGGAAGTTGGGGATATTAAAGCCTGCCGTTTCGGCTTCATAGCGGGCTATCTCGAAGCGTGCCACAGTCTGGTCGATCCGTTCTCCCGCATGGACTCGGAAGTCAATGGGGGCTGTGCCAGAGTTGAGTTGGCGTTCCTCTTCTAGGTTCTCGAACTTCGTGCTGAAGAAGAACATGATGTAGGTGGCGCCATCGATATGGTGACCACCTATGTTAACGCCAGAATCGATAACTGCTGGGGGAACTCTCATGGCTATGGCCCGTGCGAGGCCACCCAAGCCTCGTTGCAATGCTGCAGCTTGTTGGGAGGGCGTCATGGTGCCTGTGGTCACGTTGATCCAGGCATGCACCTCGCGAGCGAATTTTTGGACGCCCGAAATGGGTACCGAAAAAATGGGTACAATGCCCAACAGCAAATGCTGTCCCAAACCAACAGCGGCCGCTGTTGGGCAGGCGGCCTTCTGTCTCGAATGGACACAGGCCGCGGCGGCGTGGACAGCGAGCCCTGTTCAAAATGAACAAGATCCGCTGTTGGGCATCGTACCCATTCTTTCAGTACCCATTTCGTGCGTGCATTCGCGGACAGGTACTTGACCGGCCGTGTCCCAATGGGGGCCGGTTGTTCTCGTGTCGTCTCCGCCACGCATGTGTCCCACCGCGCGCCCGATAGCAACCCATATGAACCCAAAGATAGTTATGCCAATCCAATGGCCTCGTAGGTCGTAGTCGGATGTGGTTGGTTGGGGTTTGTGGTCGTAAGCCTTAGCGGGGGTGGAGGCGGCATAATGTCGTACCGCATGTTTCCATGCATTGTGTCTTCGAGTAAGTTTCGAATTGGAGTAGGTGGGTGGACATCAGAAGTGTAGTAGCGCAGGGATGTAGGACACGAGTAAGAGGCCTCTGCGTGGGCAGAGGTATCACTGTGAGTGTCCTTGCGGTTGTGCGTAGTTATGTACATTTTTCCGCGCAGACCCACTGCACCCTGATGTTCCACCATGTCAGTAGTCCACCAGATAGTGCCGTGGATGGTGAGGAGTAGAGCAAGAGCTGATCACCATCGGCCAGCTCCGCTACCAAGTTTGAAAGGGGTTGGGAGGCCCAACCAGCAGCTTCGCCTCAGGCGAAGCCCAGCTCCAGCTCTGTTGTAGCGTAGTAGCGATAGTCCCAGTAGTAGGAGATCGTCGCGGGAGCGACGAGCCATCTCAAGCAAAGGATGTTTTGGTCTCGCTGGCAAATGGTACACCTCGCGCTGAGGTGTAGTCAGACCTGGGCGGCCGGCCGCTTGAGCCCAAACGGCCGCGGACACACGCTCGTTACCTCTCGCCTGTATCCCAACTCACTTTAGAATTGGGGGGGTCCCGGGGGGAGGTCCCGGGGGGGGGCCCAAGGGGCCCCAAAGACAGTCCAAGAGAATCCCGAATCGCCGAACGATCTGTCCAAGACGCCTTGACGGCCTCCAGACAGCCCAAGAGGCCTGCAAAACGCCCCAAGAGGCCTCCAGGAGCTTCCTCACGAGAGCCCCAAGAGGCAAAATTCATGGATTTCTCATACGTTTTTGAAAGATTTTGGCGTTCTTGCCTCTTCCGCTTCCCGACGCGCCAAGACGGCCCAAGAGGCCCCCAAGATCGCCCCAAGACGGCCCAAGAGGCCCCCAAGAAGGTAACGGCCGAAGAGGGCCGCAAGACGGCTCAAGACGCCTCCAAGATGGCCCAAAAGGCCCCCAATACGGCTCCAGGAGAGTGCCAAGACGGGGGACCCGAACGGACATTTTGAGCCCTCAGCCCCAAGAGGCCCCCAAGAGGCCCCGAAGAAGCCCCAAGAGGCCCAAGACGGCCTCAAGAGAGCCCCAGACTGTCCCAAGAAAGCCTCTGTCCTCCTCCTCTTCCTCCTCCTCCTCCTCCTCCTCCTCCTCCTCCTCCTCCCCCCCCCCTCAGCTCCCCCTCCTCCTACTCTTTTCTGCCTCCTTCTCCTCCTCTCGCTTCTCCTCCACATCCTTCTCCCCACTCCTCCTCCCTCATCCACCTCCTCCACCCTTCCTCCACCTCCCACTCCTCCTCCTCCCCCTGCCCCCCCCTCGTTTTCACATTCGTCCTTCTCAGGTTCGGCGGCACCGGCTGTAAGGCCTTTGCAATATTGGTACGTGCGCAGTCGCGAATGGAAGTGATACTGATGTTGAGAGTCTCACTAACACGAAAATAAATGCTAATACTCATACAGGTACGAATGTGCATGTCGATGCGACGGCTACTTCTGGTCTTGGTACTGGTACTACCATTAATTCCACTGCGAATGATCGATTACTACGGCCACAGATAAAACGACCGCGCCTAATATAACTAGTGCAACTGAGGCAACATCCAAATGTGGATGCTCATGCGATCCCTCATGCGAGTACGACTGCGACTCAACATGCGAATGGGTGTCACGGCAGGGAGCGGGAGGCCACGACGCCTCACCGATTCTGGACCTGGCAGTCCACGGGAAGCCACGGGAGGCCACGACATCCGATCAGTTCCGAGTCCCGATCCGGCAATCCACTTGCCAGACCTGTGAGACAACTTGTCCAGTCGAGGCGTTGACCTAACGAACCCTGAATAAGGAACGAGGCCCCTTTTTTCCATAAGTTAACCTTCGATTTCCTGTCGAAAACATAAGGAAAGCCTGAGGCAAGCTGTGAAACACTTCAGGAACGCGGAGCCCCTCCCCAACGAAAAGGGTTCCTTCTCCAGGGCCCCGACTGTAAGGACAAATGGGGAGGGGACTTGGGACGGGAGGGTGTGTCGCCGCCTCGATGACGCACCTCGGGTTTGCTCTGGCCCTCCTGCTCCTGCTGCTCCTCGTCCTGCTCCCTCTTCTTCCTCCTCCTCGCTCGCAGTAAGAGGCATACGATGGATGCAAAGAGAGGGGGAGGAGCGCCAACCTTAATCTGTTGTTCTTGGCCGCGGCCCGTGCCCATCCCCTATCAGATGGCGGGCAGCGGCTGAGCAAAAACACCTCTCCGAAGGAAGCCTTGCCACATCTGGGCTGGCCCCTGGGCCAGATGAGGAGCCCAACTGGCAGGAGTAGACGGGGCACTATTCACGGCACCTTTGGCGTGAACTGGGCCACGCGCTAATTCGCACTTTGCACCGTGAGTGCATCCATGAGAACCCACCACCGCTGCTGCAACTACTCGAAAAGAACACCCCTCGCTGGTGCTGAAAGAAAGGAGGGTGTGATGCGTATGGCGGTGCTCAGGGTGCCTCGGCCTAGGTTAAATGGAGGGGCAGAAAACGAATGATACCACACGATGGCAAACTGGAGGAAAGAGGAGGCAGGCGGCAAATGGCAGGACACGCGATGCGGCTTGCCAACATTCTAGCCACAATAATGTCTGTTGGAACGCGCTCTGAAGGTGCCCAGTCGTTCACCGTGCCTCGCAAAGATCATTACAGACGACGAGGTTCACATAATCGAAAGTGTACTGCAGCTCTTGGCGTGTGTCAAGCCACTGGCACGCCCAAGCTCAAGTACCATTTGCTGGTTCCAGCCATCGCTCTGCTGCTGATCGCCCCTGCGGCACTCTGGATGCTTCATTTCCCAACCACTGAGCTGACGCTGGTTCTCTTTCTATGTGCTCGCAAGCTGCCGGCCCATGCTCAGGTGCTGAAGCTTCCGGAATCAATTCTTGTGGAACGTCCTCACGGCTCTCGGGAACGCGCCGCCGTCCATGACGCTCACGCGAGCAGTGCTGGTCCTGATGTCGCTGCATGTCGTTACCTTGCAACTCGGGGTCGAGGGCTGGCTCATTCTTTACCTGGAGCAGACCGTCGGTTTTGCTCCACAGAAGCTCCCTTTCGAAGCTCTGGGACACATGGAAGATTCGTGACACACACCCACACTTACACAGCACGAGCCACAACACCCAAGTCGCGAACACCGCGAAGCCCAGCCAGTTCAGCACGGCTCTCCGAGCTGCTCCCGCGTCGGCAGAAGAACCCTGCCCAGAGCGCTGCAGGCTACCATGGTTCCTCGTGGGAGGAGCAAATATGATGTCGATTGGGGTAACGGCCGCCTCTGGGAGAGCTGCGATGCGATCCATCAGCTCCTGGTGCGCAAAGCACGAAGCGATCGAGTTGAAGCCGCAACAAGCCGAGGGACACTGTCCGGAAAAACACTTGCCTCCACTGCAGCACCCTGGACCATCGTATATGCAAGAACCGATCGCCCCAGAGGGGGTCTTGTGCACCAGGGGCGACGATATCGTGGTGGTGTTCTGGGGGGTGGCGGGGCCCGCGCGCGTGCTCTTGGAGGCGATATCAACTACTCCTTTCGTTGCCTTGCCATTGCTACTGTCTCCGTCGCCAATCGGCGAGGAATAGTTGGGTCCAGCGCCTGTCCTCGCTGCACCATCGACGCCCCCACCGCCATCGCCTGGTAGAGGGGCGCTGGCGCTGTGGGGCCGCCCCCTGGCCGCCTTCACATCCTTCCACGGCTTTCCAATGACATTATCCCGCTGATGGCCCGCATTGGCCCGCTCGGACCTTTTCCGCTGCTGGACGACTGCCACGTGCGTGTCGTTGCCGAGATGGTCGACGTTTCGCACGGTAATGCTATTCTTCGACAGGGTCAAGTGCATGAAGCCATAAGAGTCGTCACCTTCTGTGCTAGGCGGCCAATCGGACGTGACTCCGCCGCCGCCGCCAGACACTACCCAGCCGGTAGGGTAAAGAAAATCATCGGCGTCTTCGACGTGAATTTCCTGGCGGTGCAAATGACCAGTAATAATCAGATCGATGCCGTACTTTGCTGAAACGTGCTTCCAAAAACTCTCACCAAACGACGGAGGGAAATGCGTCACCACAATCTGCCAGGTCGTGTCGGAAGCGGAGAGCTGCCACTCTAACCACTCACTCTGCTCGTCCCACAAACGTTGGAACCAGCCTGGACAATCTGTCGTGCTCTCTGGACCTCCTTCGGCCTCGCAAGTTGCGTTGATCGCGTTGTGTGCAATGCTGCATATATTGTGATGAATGTCCGTGTAGGGGTCCTCTGCGTCGAAAATGTTGGAATCCATGAAGAAATAATCGACGGAGAAATCTGGATATCGCACCGTGGTGCTCCAAAACAGTGCCGGGGTCATCCACCGGCCGAGGTTCCCCACCGAATGCCTCCAAGTATACTTGATGGCCTGGTCCCAAGCGCTCGTGAACATAAAACCGCCGTAATCGTGGTTACCGAGCACACCCAGCCACTGCTTCCCGTCAAGTCCTGTCCCAGTGTACATTGCCTCGAAGATATCATCCCACTGGCTGCTGAAATTGTTCTCGCCGTGCGTTGTGCAGCACTCCTGATCCACACCCGCCCAACCCGCCACGTGCCATCGACACCTTGAGGCGTGTAACAGTGCCCATTCGCTGTCTTGCAGAAACATTTTTTCCCCCCAGCCCCCCCTCCCTCGCCACCCTCCGTTCGAAAACGGCGCCCCGACGTTTTGCTATCCACACTGTCTACGGCCCCAAGACTACCGCGAATCTACGGTCAGGAACTTTTGCATAACGTGTCGCCGCGGCGGCCCCGGCGATACGCTATGCCCTGCAAGCGGGTACATATCGTGTCGCTCCAAACTCCCCGACCGTATTCAATACTGGCCCAGTATGCCCCAAACCCAGCCCAAGACGGTCGCCATGTCCCCCACAGGGCCAACTTTGCGCCCAAATATACCAACACGGTAAAAACGTTCCCAACAAGCTTTAGATCATGGCGCCACGAGGCCTCCTCCTGACCTTCCTCCTCTTTCTTCTCCTCGTCCTTCTCCTCCTCCTCCTCCTGCTCCTGCTCCTCCTCCTCCACCTTCTCTTTCTCCTCCTCCTCCTCCTCCTCCCCTCCTCCTCCTCCTCCTCCTTCTCCTCCTCCTCCTCCTCCTCCTCCTCTTCCTCTTGAGCTTGGCGGCAGGAGGCCAAACATACTGATCAACCTGGCGTTTTTCAGAATGCTGCTCTCAGGATGGCCTCGAGAAGGCTTCGGAGGACCCTCTGATGCCCCCCACCAAGCTCGGACTCCGTCCAAAATGGCCCCAACACTGCCCGAGGATCCCCCAATACGGCACAGCACTGCGCCACAGTAGCTCCACGAAGGCCCCAAGACCCGTCCAGACAGCCGCAACATGGAACCACCAAGCCTCGTCGGGAGAGCTCGGTGGCATCATCGCGCCCAAGACAGCCACGGAGTGCCCTGGGCGGACCGCGGGGGCCTCGTGTAGCCGTGCCTCTGCGCAGCCTGGGAGTCCAAGCGCATGGACAACATAGTGTGCTTCCACGTTTTTCGGTGGCCGATGTCTTCGGCCGCGTGCAGATGGCACGTGCGAGAAGACATCCTGCCACAGGGAATCTAGGGGCACACGCTTCGTCGACTCTGCGGTTCGCGAGGTGCCCCAATGCTCTGCGGCCCCAGCGGGCGACACGAAATCACAGCGGGGCACCCGCTGGCAGGCCAACCTCACCTTTGGTGTGCCTACCGTGTGGCTTCAGGAAAGCTTCGGAGCCGGAGGGCCCCGCCAGCACGGCCGAAGACGTCCCTTGAAAGGCTCTCCGACGGCCCCGAACCCCGTCCTGACGGTCCCAAGATGTTTGCACCAACGAGCCTCTTCGGGAGAGCCCTCTAGAATCGGCGACCGCAAGACGGCCCAAGAGCGATCTCTGCAGAGCCACGGCGAATCCGAGCCCACACGGGATACCTCGGCAGAACCACAATTCTTGCATTTGAGGCTTGGAAGCGGCCAGGGAATCTGCGCTGGATTGGCCCCGAGAAAATCTATCAAGAGGGATGGACGAAGGCAAACCCGTTCCATGTCGGCCTCTGGAACCCCCAGGGTCGAAACCGACCAGTGGTTCGAGCCGCGTCCAGCCGCGGCGTCGAGGGGGCCCCTTCCCCTCTCTGGCTGCTGGTCGCAACCAGTGCTGGGTCACCTCGGCCCCCCGAGGAGGAGGAGGAGGAGGAGGCGGAGGAGGAAGAGGAGGAGGAGGAGGAGGAGGAGGGGCCCCTTCCCCCCTCTGGCTGCTGGTCGCAACCGGTGCTGGGTCACCTCGGCCCCCCCGCTGGCTGCGATCTGAGGCTGCGCTGGCGCGGGGTGGCGGGTCTGTCGCAGGCAACTGGGTAGAAATTGTCCCCGACGTTTATCACGTAGTCCGGGTCCACCCACATCGCTCGCTTCCCCATGGCAGCGGCGACCCGCTGCTGCGGGAAGTCGTCCAGACCAGTGACGAAGTCGCGCTTGTGCACGCCGCTCTTTCGGTGGTCCGCCGCGGTGACGGCCGCATGGCCGTGCACCCTGTGCCCGCCCCAGTCCCCGATGACGAACACCTTCCCATGAAGCAAGGGGTTCCCTAGCGAAACGGGTCCTGGACCCAGGGCTTCCCGCAAGAACGGCTTTGAAGTGGAACGTTAGGGAGGGGCCGGCTCAGGCCGGGAAACGTCGACCTGCAATCGGCGATGCATCGCCGACAGGGCGGCGACATGCCCCCGATGGCAAATCCGCACGGTCGTGGGACGGGCGGGCCATCGGGCACCTGCGGGCGATGACTGGGCGATGGGGGGTCGATGCGTCCCCCCCTGAGCCAAATCGGGGGCGCGCGAACGTGGATTAGCGATCTATGGATTTGGCGCGCGGTCACCAAATACGTGGCTCGGGGGGAGGCGCCCTCCCCCAAATGTGGCTGGTGCCGCCTCGTTCGGCGGCGGAAGTCCGCGACTTCCCACGGCAACGGGACCCGTCGCCAATCCACGCCCCCTTGATCCATGCTTGCGATCGCCTGACCGAACCCCTGCTGCCGCTGCCCCTGGACCCTGGGGCCTCCCCCAGGACCGCCCTTCCGCCCCGAGGCACACCTGTTGTCGACGGGCCCCTCCGGCCCGGTGAAGGCTTCCCGAGCGGCGGAGCCCGGCGAGAGGCCTCGAGGCCACGTTCCCTCAGGACACCCTTTCTTCATGGCCACCCTCCTCCTTCTCCTCCTCCTCCTCCTTCTCCTCCTCCTCCTCCTGTTCCTTCTCCTCTTCCTCCTCCTCCTCCTTCTCCTCTATCCCCCTTTCTCCACATATCTAGCGTGCGGGCGACAGGTATGTAATCCGTGCGAAACAGGGTGGCGAGGAAAAAGGCGGGACAGCATTGCACACGACGTGCCCCCCCCACACGTCGCCGAGCTCCTGCGACTCCACGCTCCCCCCACGGACGACAGGGGGCGTGAGGGCAGCCCTGACCCACAACCATCTGGTGTTGCTACAAGTGCCGCTGGCCCAAGGTGCCCCCAGATCTCCAGGGAGGCCCCCACGGCCTCCGGAGCACCTCTCACACGGCCCAGGGGGCCCCAAGGGCTCCAAGATTGAGCGAAAAGCTGGGGGCACCTTGGGCCCGGGGCACCCTGGGCAACCCCGGAGACCAAAGCGCGCGCGCAGGGGGCCGGAGTCGGAAGCTCGGCGCCCCACGTCGTGGTGGCCCTCGTCCTCCGAAGGAGTCGACCTCCCAGCCTCTCCCAGGGGGGCGTCCTGGCCAGAACCCCGAAGGGCAGCCCAGCCCTGGCGGCGAGGGGCTCGCCCCCTGGAGGCCCAGACTCGGGTGCGACGACGGGGGGGAAGAGCCCCAGGGAGAGCCACACGTGCATCCAGGGGCGATGCTCCATGCCTTCGGCGAGGCTCCCAGGTGAATGCGCGCAGCGCCCGCCGCTGGGCTATTCGCCCTCGTCGTCGCTGCCGGCAGGAGGCCTCAACAGGCGCCCGAGAACCTCGAATCCTGGGCCCTCGCTCGGCCCGGAACGCCGTCGTGGCGTTTTTTTCGCAGCGTGGGTCTCTTGAGGTCTGGACCCCTGCCCCTGTGAGCATCTTCTCGTCCTGAGCCATATTTTGGCGGCCCCGATGCCCGACCGAAGGCCCCCGGAGGCCAAGGAACAGCGAACAAAGTCTTCCGTCACGTACTCTTCACGACGTGTGGGGGGGGCCTGGCCCTCACCCTTCATGGTCATAAAAGAACCCGTTACACAACACGCAGCACTTAGCGTGTCGACAGGGAGCTCAGCACGTAGACTCAAGGTCTGGCGCGATACGTTCGCCAAAACTTGGGACAACACGTCGAGCCATCACACAACGTGTTAAAACGGACATTTTGAGCACGGTACGTGTTGCCTTCCAAGACGGGCGTATCAGGACAGCTAAGGAACCCAGAAACGGCATGAACATAATCTCTCGGAGTCCGCGCGGATTTCTTGGATCGGCAGTGGAACCTCCTGCCTGGCACGCGGAGCGAGCCAGGGGCGGCGCTGGAGGCGCCGCCGGGGGGGACCAGCGCCGATCCACGAAATCCGTGCGGACCTCCGAGAAATTATGTTTGTACAGCTTCCTGTGATCTGGATGGTGCGCCTCGTAGGCCCCCGTCGGCCCCGTGCCGTTGATGCACACGTCGGGCAGCCGCACGCCGTTCAGGTCCACCGCCCTGCTGCCCTGAGCGGGCGCCTCGAAGCGGTCCCGGCACTGGCCGCCCTCGCGGCCACGCGCCCTCGCGAGCGGCAGCGCCGCCAGCGATGCGGCGGCGCGGCTTCTCGGTGGCCCCAAATGGGCGTGGTGACGGACCGCGTGGTGACCTCGGGACCCCAAGATAGACCTCGCCGCGAGGGCCGTCACCACACGGTCCCAGGACCTCGGAGGCCCCCCTGGTCGCCCGAGACGTCCTCGGAGAACGACCTGGGTTCCAAAACCGTGCCGTGACCAGAAATCACTACTGACTCATCTCGGGGGCGTCCACGAGGGAGGTTCGCAGATCATGGCCGGAGGCATGTGCGCGGCGCAGGGGAGGCCAAGGGACGTCTTGAAATAAGGAGGAGTGGCCATGCGATCCAGGGGGATCTCATGGCCTCGGCCCTGATACTCTCCCCTCCCCTAAATCATCACTTCCCTCTTGGCCGCCCCCGATCACCACGCGGTGTGGTCACCACACCGTTTGGGTGCCCCCGAGGCTTCGCCGGCATGGCCGCCGCATCGCTGCGGGGGGGGGCGCGCTCCCGCCCTGGCGCGGACGCGCTCGGGCCCAAGCGGCCACGGGTAAGAGGGACCGGTGGTTGGCCTTCGGGGGGGCCCTCGTCGCCACTGCTGGACGCAACTCGGAAAAGTGGTGCGTTCGGACCCTAGGATGGGGCGGGTTCGGGACCGATTTTGAGCTGCCGTTGTCTCAACTCTCCCTCCTTCGAGCGGAGGGGGCAAGGGGGGAGCGGCGGAGGAGGAGGAGGAAGAGGAGGACCAGTCAAAGCCCAAGACGCATCAATGATGTTGCAATACACCCTCCCTCCATATTCCCTCTTCATATGCCCCTACAACATGTTCTCCATTGCCGGGAGTGCCCCATCGGGGGACAACCGTTTGAGAATCTCCAATCGTGCCAGAACACAACTCTTTGGACTTCCACGCCGCGGATCTGCGTAACTGTTGCGTCCTGACCATCCTCATCGAGCCAGCAGACCACCCCTGGGACTTCAACACCACGAATCAACGTTAACTGTTGCGTCCTGCCAATCTATTATCGTGCAAGAGCGCCCGTCCTGGCACGTCCGTCGTATGAATCTTTGAAACTGACGCGCAATATTGAAACGAATCTACGCGGCGCTGGGCGAGAGCCATTATGAAAACGAACAGCCCACCATTCTTGAAGCTGTTGCATACATTTAAAACGAGCATGCGCGGCGCTAAGGCGAATGCCGCCTTTTGAAAACGAGCCGCCCTTTTGAAATGAATGTGTGCGGCGCTTCAGCGAGATCCTCACTCTGAGACCGAACCGTCCTCCGTCCTTGAAACTGTGGCAGATGTTTAAAACGAACGTGCACGGCGCTATGGCGAGATCCGCATTTGGAAAACCACCCACCGTCCATCCGTGAAGCTGTTGCAAATCAAATTTTGAATTTCAGGATCGTGCGTGGTGAAGGAGTTCAAGCGAAACGCCCGGCCTGCCCTACCAACACGTCTGGGGGTGCGGCAGCGAAGATATAGCTGAAGGGGTGGAGGAGGACGAGGAGGAGGAGGAGGAGGAGGAGGAGGAGGAGGAGGAGGAGGAGGAGGAGGAGCAGGAGGAACAAACCGCGGGCTGCAGGTTGTGCTGTAGCCACTTGGAGAAAGGATCCTTGCGGTCAAGGAGACCCTTCGGCCCTGCTGAGGACTCTGGGAGCCGACCCACCCCTGCTGCGATCAACGTGCTCCTTGCCTGCACGGGAGCGGAGGAGGGAGGGGGGAGGAAGGGATGGTACTGTCAGCCCGTATACCGGCGGCGAGCGAGGGGGGGGAAATGAAAAGGAAAAGGCCTTCTCAGAAGACGGCGGGACTTCTCAGAATCATTCGCGCCTTCTGAAACATTTTCTGTGTCTTGGAGAAAGATTAAACAACTTCTCAGAAAACCGGGGGACTTCTTCCGAGCCTTCTGAGAAGGCGCGCTCCTTCTCATTCCCCCCCCGGCACGCCGCCGAACATGATAAGAATGCGCGGTAAGAGTGCAAGGGCCTTGGAAGGCCATGTTAACGTTTTTTGAACGAGGCTGGCCAGCGATCGTTACCATGGGCCGACGGGACAAGGATGCAAGGGTAGCCTTAGAAAGTGGCTCATGCTTACTCTGCGGGTTGTCTGTTGCAGGACGAAAGTGCGCTGGAGGAGGCGGCGCTCGACGGGTACACGAGTCTGACAGCCTGGGAACGAGACCATTCGAAACCAGCTCTGGTACCCAGAACGCGCTAACAGGAACGGTGATATCGCACCGAGGGGGGGGCTCAAGCGCGCATGCGCTAACCCAGACCAGATCGATCTCTGGGGCCAGGACGTGCGGAACCCTCGACTAAACCGTAGGGGCTACTGAAACACAGCAGCGACTGGAAGAATGCGTCGGAATATTGAGGAAGCGGAGGAGGAGAAGGAGGAGGAAAAGGAGGAGGAGGAAGAGGAGGAGGAAAACGAGGATTAACGACCGTACCTTCCTTCAGTCCAACAGGCGTTTATGGCCTCATCGCATGCAATGCAGTAGCCAGGCATTCCTTGCCTGTCGTTTAAAGAAGCGCGGCGGTGGGCGCGGCGTGCGTACTGACACGCAGTTTGTTATATAATTGGCATGACAATTCTGTTCTGCGGATAGCTTCTGTAATTGTGTGCTCTGGAATAGCGTGCTGATCAGTCGATCCAAGGCCTATGCGGACAAGGGGATCGGGGGAGAGGAAGGCACGAGGCAACGCGAGGTCGTGCAGGAGACGGGGGCAGGTGAGGTAGTGGCAAAAGCGACCTGGGCATGCATCGCATCCGAGCAAGCAGGTCTTACGCGGCCCGAACGGAAAGCGGTGGCTGGTCCACCACGCTCCTGCCAGAGTCTTAAATACAGCCCAACAGATCACCGAGGCCTTGCGGGACAGGTGACTGGCGAGTCCGCACCAGCGGTCGGACATATTCGGGGGCAGGGAGAGTTCTGGGAGCGCAGCATGGAGACGGCGTGCTCGGGTGTCGGCGAACGTGTCAATGTAGAGGGAGGCGTGGAGGGCCGAGGAGAGGGAACGCTGACCCTGGCACGCCGTGATTCGCGAGCTGCCGATGTTTTTTCGTCTCCAGCAACACGCTTCGCACTGAGCCACACAGTGCGGGGTGCTTTATAAGGCGGTGAGCCGTCTGCTAGTGTGCCCAGTACTCAACGGTACCGTAGCTCTTCCAAAACGCAGGGGAGACAGTGGCCCGCGGGCCTGGCCAAGGGCCGCCAAGGAAAGTTCTGGAATGAGCTGGTCTTGGGCAGTGACCAGCGTGCAGTAAAGTGGCTGCCAGTTCGGTAGCGTGGCGGTGGCCGAGCGCCGCGCCGAAGCCAGCGACAACGCGATCGAGGCTTATTTTTTTTTTTGGGGGGGTGGGGGGGTGGGGGGGGTTTGCGACCGCGAGCGAGTGCCGAGGAGGTCGACGAGGCGCCAGGAATCGGGGGGGGGGGGTCTCTCAATGCCTTGTGCGGCGTGCCGCGCTCGTGGGGGAGAAAAGTGTCTGGACAAGGGAAGTACTGCGTGAGGTAGGAAACGGCTGTAATGACACAGGTGTTATACAATTCGATTGCAACCGCTGGTCCTGGGGCACTTGCTGCGAGTTGCACCACGCGGAGGCCGTGCATATCAAAAGCTGCTTCCCATTGGATGTCCACCGTCACTCCAGGACCATTGAGAACGCCTAGACAGTGGGCGTATTCTGCGATCTGAATGTTGTTCCACTCAGGGGTGAGAAAAGCTAATGGACCATGCGTGAGAGATTGCACTTCTGGAGAGAAAGCTGCCCACAGGGGCGCAATGGCGGTCTTCTGGATATGAAGCTCGAGTCCTGCCAGGGAGGCAATGGCCCGAAAAGGGGGTGGGGCCCGAGCGAGCAAGGGCGAATCCCAAATCGCCAGCGCAGGCTCCGAGCTTATTGGATCCAGGGGGAGCGCTTAACACCTGGACAAAGCGACGGCTTGGAGCGTCGAAAGCGTCGAAGGCCAGGGCCCAGATCGATCCCGAGAGGGGGCGGCCCTGGAGGGCCCCGGGGCCGATTTCGAACATGAATTGGAGGCGGCCACCTACGCGGGCCCAAGCGCCATGGGAATGATATGACGCGTAAATCGCGCCAGGATATCATGGGGGGACACCGTGCGCCACTAGCGCGGCGCATAAAAACTGCCATCCCAACGAAGGGAAGACAGCCTTTATATCAAAACTGATTAGGATCGGGATGGCATCTACTGCAATTGGGAACTGACTAGCTCTGCGGGCGTCAGAATCGAGAGTCAGAACATGCTGTCCAAAGTTTCGGCCCTCGACGAACCCCTGCTGCGTGTCTATGGTGCGACCCCGAACCATGTCCACCAGGCCTGCATTCACAACGTGCGCGATCAGCTTGGCGTCGCAGTTCTTAGGAGAGAGGTTGCGCGTGGCTCCGGGGGCGCGGAAGACTTCGTACAAGTCCTGGGGTCTTCTTCTTTCGGTAAGAATGCGAAGACCGAGTCGTTGAACTTGTGAGGGGCAAGTCCTGTTTCGAACAGCTGCATCATCATATCGTAAAGAATATGAGAGGATCCTGGGGTTGTTGCCCATGTCGTGTAAGGAATTTGATCTGGTCCAGGGGCTGTATGTCTTGCCTTGCGGAGAGCTCTCTGGGAGTCTTGAAGAGCAGGAACCCTGAGGTTCGCGCAGTCGGAATTGGGGAGGTGCTGGTCCAAGTACGTCTGGACCGCCATGGGGTCCACGATCTTGCTCGAGAAGATAAGCTGCCAACGCTTCTGGAGGCCTCCGAGAATCCCTTCTGGCGTGCTAGTGGTGGTGAGGGTGTCTTTTGGGGCCCTTTCCTTTGGTATCTTAAGTCCTGAAAGAACGAGGCGACGTCTGAACTGGTTCCGCGCCTGGGCGCGCCAGTGAGCTGCATGGCGGCCTTCCTGCTGCCGGCCTGGTCCAGCTGGGCCTCGGAGTTGGTCTGCTGGCGCCTGGTGGCAAGGGCAACTCGCCGCTCGCAGTCTGCGGTAACTGCGGCGGCCATGAGCTTGCTGAATCCTTCTCTGTCCGTGAGTTCAGGGCCGCCCACGGTGATGCGAAGGTGGGCGCGGCTCGTCTCAGTCGTGGCCATGAGTAGCGCCGCTGTGTCAGAGTCCTCCCGCCAGATCGTTCTCGAAATGACTAGTAGTGCGGTGGGCCTTCGATGTTCTGCCCAACGGTTGAGATCTTGTAGACAGGCTCGCTGCTGAAGATTACGCGTGAATCTGGCCGCTTCCCTGATGATCAGTTTATGCTGGCGCCATGCTGCTGTGGACGTGCGCTGTGCTCGGGCAGCGTGATCTGGCAGGACAGTGAAGTGGCGCTGGTATGTCGGGTCGTGGAAGATGTTCGGGTCTATGGCCTGCTCTTCAGGTCGGGCTGCGGAGACATTGGCCAGTACTAAGTGCAAGGTCGCGTGATCGCTCAGCCCTTTGTCAGACAGGGCGGCGCCATCTTCGCGCATCTTCAAATGGGCGTCGACGTTCAGCAGGTCGACTCCGGAGAGGGAAGCAAATGGGCGGTC